GATTGAAATTATTTTATTGTGATTGAAGATGCTTTTTGTTTGATTGAATAATAAAAACACAAATTTACCTCCATACAATTTAGTTTAAAAAGAAGTCTGTTATTTTCTGTTTAAGTCAAAAATACACAACATGCAGCATGATTATTATCATCGTATGAGCAAAATAACTCATGAAACTCAGAAAATAAATACTGGATCAGAAGTCAAACCAATTCAAGATGGCTGCCACAGTTAAGCAACCTTGACAAACACTCAAAAAGCCATAAATTAGCTGATTTGACAAGATATTAAGCTAAAATTCAGTATGGTCGTAGATGAGAGTCATTCACATCACATACTCTAATCACCAAGAGATACATGAGATTACACATAATTAGTGTTAATTTAAATGTCCATAACTTTGTAATTTCTCAGCATAAGATCATCTTAGGCTACGTTCACTGCAGGTCTTGATGCTCACTTCAGATTTTTTTTGCGTAGACGTTCACATTATATTTTAAATGCGACCTCCATCAGACTCCGGTGTGAACTCTCCACAGTCCTGATGCGACCAGCATGCACAGAAAAAGACACGACGTCACGTTAAACTCGCTGTTTGCAGAACTAGCCCATGGATGCTACATGTTAGCATGTCGACTCCGAAGTTGCGCAATTGGAGCCGATTAAATAATTATCTGACATCATGCTTGTTTAGTTCAGTGTTTACCTTTGAGCCGGCTGCTCCGGAGCAGCATTTTATTTTTGTAACAGGAGCAACGTGCTAAAAATTACGTGTCGATCCAGTAATTTTAGTATGGATACGGTCCGCGACCGACGTTACTGTCATATGTTTCTGTGGATTCTCAGTCATCCAGGACATGGAAAAGAAAAATCGAAACAACTGGACCTCTGTTCTGAAGACATGTGGAGCTACAAGGTTTAAACTGCACAAGATGGTATCAATACTCTAAATACTTGTATTGATCTGCTCGTCTCCACCTCACTGATGTAAATGTCAGATAAAATGCGACAAGACCGACTGAGGTCACTTTGAAAAACCTGATTTAGTACCACATGCTGAAAAGGCCTAGGTTGGTTGAAAAAAAATTGATATGGGATGCATAGAGGGGAAAAATAGGATTTTTGTGACATTTGCCTACAGTGTGAATAGAGCCTTTGTCTTAGTGGAGGATAAGCATCCTTAAAGGGATCCATGATTAGTTATAACATTAGACTTTATTTAATAAACCTATTTTTAACTGTAAAATAAAGACTGTAAAAATACTGTAGGATGTTTAGTTTTTCATAATTTTCAAACTAAAAGTTTAAAAATATTTTACACGGACAGGGCCATTTTATTTACACGCAAAGCATTCTGGGTAAATGATGACGTGGATAGGTCCTCGGTGCGAGGCTGCTAGCGAGCTATATCCACCCTGAAGGTTAATCTTGGACAATATATATATAATATCTGATGATTGACTCTTTTAAATGAAACCAGAGAGCATTGACAGAGAGGAGAAGGTAGAAATGACTCAGCCTGGAACTGAAAATATGGACGGAGGACAACAGAGCTGCTTCATGGAAGAAGAACCTCAGATTAGCCTGTTAGCTTTAGCATTAGCCCCGACGCCATCACCATATATATGGATTAGCTCAGCGCTACACATTCTCCTCTCGTCACTGAGGTCCTCCATCCACATGACAGAGAGGGGAACACAAAAATGACTCAGCCTGCAACTGAAAATATGGATGGAGGACCTCAGTTTAGCTTGTTTGTCGCGCTAGCGCTGAGCTAATACAGATAAGGAAATATAGCGTCAGCGCTAGCACAAAGGCTAACAGGCTAAGCTGAGGTTCTTCTTCCATGAAGCAGCTCTGTTGTCCTCCATCCATATTTTCAGTTCCAGGCTGAGTCATTTCTACCTTCTCCTCTCTGTCAACGCTCTCTGGTTTCATTTAAAAGAGTCGATCATCAGATATTGTCCAAGATTAACCTTCAGGGTGGATATAGCTCGCTAGCAGCCTCGCACCGAGGACCTATCCACATCATCATTTACCCAGAATGCTTTGTGTGTAAATAAAATGGTTCAGTCCATGTTAAAATGTATTTTTTTAATTATAAAAACTAAACAGCCTACAGTATTTTTACAGTCTTTATTTAACAGTTAAAATACATGTTTATCAAATAAAGTCTAATGTTACAACTAATCAGGGATCCCTTTAAAGCTAGCATTCTTAAGCTTAAAGAGTTTCCCGTCTTTGTGTCAGAATTAAACCGATCCAAATGTGACTGACGTTTAGGTGCTCTGTCGTGACGTCCATCAGTTTGCTGCAGGACTGGTGAAGCCTCTCGTAGACGATGGTGTCGGCACCTTTACAGTACAGAGACAGTTTCCCCTCCGGATTCCGAACTGTTGCCACAAAACACAAGCGTGATCAGACATCTGGGTTTCATTTCCAACACAAGCATCCAGATATCAAACACAGTGAACAGGACGGTTCTGATGAAGAGCCAACACTAAATCAGAACCATCTGTGTAATCTAAACTGAGATTTGTTTTTTTTTTTACCGATGACAGACATCCTCTTGCGAACGTTGTTAAAATCCAGGATTGCCAGGAGTTCGTAGCTGCGCTGCTTCCCCATCTCCACGATGGAAATGCTGTCCGGTGTTCGCGAGCGGAAGACGAACCCGAAGTTTCTGGCTGCTGTCACCAGAGCTCCCTCATCTGGTGACTGGGCCTGGTAGTAAAGCTCACCTGAAGGAGAAAAACTGGTCATTTATCATTAAAATAAGGACAGGAGTTACAGCTTTGTGGCAGGGGAATTGTGTTTTTTGTTTACTGAAAAAAAAAAAAAAAAGAAAAAAAACCTTGATCATCACCTTCTTTCTTCTCCCCGGCCATGACGGTGTGGCAGAGCGCCAGCAGCCTGAAGAAGGCGTGGACCTCTGGGTTCTCCAGCTTCACCGCCTCCACCAGGGAGTGGTCGTAGAACACAAACCGGGGGTCAGCCAGTGGGTTGAAAGAGAAGTCCACCGAGTCTTTCTGCTGCAGGGTGAGGCAGAGGAGATGGACTGCAGGTTAAAAGGTTAGAAGATTGTTTAATAAATCTCTAAAGTTACAACAAAAATGTGCTCGCCACATCGTTGTAGAGCAGTGTTCCCACACATCTACAACAATGTGGTTTTTCTTCTTGTGCATCTGTTGCAATCAAACTATTTCTGAATACTTTGTGCTATTTTAGCCATTTGTATATCAAAAGACTCGGCTCATTCAGGAGACGGCTGCTCTGACTTCTGGTTTTTGGGACTTTTGCTTTTCAGAATATTGCACTTTTTTTTCAAACATTAACCTCAGAAATTCATTGAGATCTCTTCAGTTTTCTAATTCAGCATATTTATTTGTATCTTCTTATGATGCTTTTAGTACTTTTGCTACTTTTGCATTGAGCCTTTTGATACGTTTAGCTTGTAGCCAGCCTTTTGACTTTATCAGTTTCTGTCTAGCATTTTGCTTCATTTAGCATCTAGTTAGCCATTTGATTCTTTAGATGTTTTACTAGCCTATTGCTACTTTAGCATCTAGTTAGCTGTTTGATACTTAAGTTGTATTTCTAACCTTTTGATACTTTTAGCAGCCTTTCGTTTTTATCAGTTTCTATCTAGCATTTTGTTTCATTTAGCATCTAGTTCGCTTTTTGATACTTAAGTTGTTTTACTAGCCTTTTGGTACTTTAGCATCTAGTTAGCCTTTTGGTACTTTAGCATCTAGTTAGCTTTTTGATACTTTTAGCTTTTAGCAGCCTTTCAATTCTATCAGTTTCTATCCAGCATTTTGCTTCATTTAGCATCTAGTTCGCTTTTTGACACTTAAGTTGTGTTACTAGCCTTTTGGTACTTTAGGATCTAGTTAGCTTTTTGATACTTTTAGCGTTTAGTGTCGATTCTATCAGTTTCTATACAGCATTTTGCTTCATTTAGCATCTATAGTTAACCTTTTGATACTTAAGATGTTTTACTAGCCTATTGCTACTTCAGCATCTAGTTAGCTTTTTGATACTAAAGTTGTTTTTCTAACCTTTTGATACTTTTAGCAGCCTTTCGTTTTTATCAGTTTCTATCTAGCATTTTGTTTCATTTAGCATGTAGTTAGCTTTTTGATACTTAAGTTGTTTTACTAGCCTTTTGGTACTTTAACATCTAGTTAGCCTTTTGGTACTTTAGCATCTAGTTAGCCTTTTGGTACTTTAGCATCTATTTAGTCTTTTGGTACTGTTATCATTTAGCAGCCTTTTGATTCTATCAGTTTCTATCCAGTGTTTTTGCTTCATTTAGTATCTAGTTAGCCTTTCGATACTTTAGATGTTTTACTAGCATATTGCTACTTTAGCATCTAGTTAGCCTTTTGGTATTCAAGTTGTTTTACTAGCCTTTTGCTACTTTTAGCTTCTATCTAGTTTTTTGATACCTTTAGCTAGTGTTTTGTTACTCACATCAATTAGGTATACTTTTACTACTTTTAGTTTTTAGATTCTGTTCTGTTACTTTGGGGTTTTAGCTATCCTTTTGCTATTTTTAGCTTTTACAGCTGTTTTGCTACTTTTATCTTTCAGGTAACACAGGTTGTTAGTTTTGTCTTTTAGTTCATGTTTTTTTTTCTTTTAGCAAATTTTAAGTCATTTTATCTTTATTAACTCAGTTTCAGCTTCTTTAATAAAATTCAGCAAATTTATTCAGACTGGCTCTGCAGCTGGATTCACTGGTTTTTGTTATGATTCTGCCATTTTATCCAGTCTGCTCCTGTCTGCTCATGTTCTCTGTCCCTCCCGTCACAGACTCATGCAATCAGCTCATTCATATCACCTGTGTCTCCTACTATTTAAGCCAGCCACTCACCTCTACTCAGTGCCAGATTATCATCAGCCTTGCCTATGATTCTCCAGTGTTCTTGTCTCCTGCCTTGTGTTTTTGACCCCATTCATGTCCTCTGGTCCCCTTGGTTTTGTCCAGCCATCTGCTCCCACTTTAATGACCCTTGTTATGTTTTGTTGGCTCACGTCTCTCATCTCTCCCCTGAACACTCCTTCGGACTTCCTGGATCACGACCCACGCCTGCCTCATGGAACTGAGAGTCTTGTCTTCCCCTCCAAACTCAGAATTATCCCTCATATTATTGTGTATGACCCCTGTCTGCCCAACGACTCTGTCTCAGTGCTTCGGATCCCAGCCGAACACACAAACCAACGGTGACGTCATCACCTCCTTCCGGAACCAAACCAACACCGCCTGTTTCTTCCCGGACTCAACCAACGAAGAACAGGTCAGTGGTTTTGATTACCGTATTTTTCGGACTATAAGGCTGTGTCCAAAACGACAGGCCGGGTCCTCCGGAGAACCCAGACTCCCCGGTCTCGGCGGGCCGGGTCTTTGGAAGACCGGACAAAAAGTATCACCATATTTTTATTTAAAATGTATTATTTTCTCTCGCTTCGTCCGCCATTACTAGCTTAAACAAATCTCCGGTCGGGCCGCAATGCATTATGGGATATGCTGGGCCGAGAAGGATCCATCAGACCTGTCCTTTGATTTGGGCCAAAGGAAGGACGTATTTGTCGGCCGCATCGGAGGAGTCTTCGGTTTTGGACGTCCTTCTTCTTTTTTTGAAGCAAGTGGTTGAAGCAAATGGAGCATAAGAGCCCCCTGGTGGCTGAAGAAAAAAATCCACGTATAAGCCGCACCGGTCTATAAGCCGCATGGTTCAAAGTTCAGGAAAAAAGTCACGGCTTATAGTCCGAAAAATACGGTAATGTTTTAATCATTTTCCAGTCCTGTCCTGCCACCAAACCTGTTTCTGTGTCCAGAACTGACTGTCCGGATCGTTTCCTAAACAGATTGACGTTAAGCCTGTGTTCACAAATAATTAATTGTTAAACCTTTCTCTGTGGTCCGGACTTATATCAGAACTCAACTCAAACTTCATATCACTTTTATTGTTTTATCTGAAACTTCTGATAAAACGTCAAACAGATACAACCCCGTTAGGTCGACTAGATTAACATCTGTTTCCAGAGATTTAATCACCAATATCTCTTGAAGTATTATATGAGCTAAAAGTCCTACAGACATTTTATTTTATGTGAAGTTTTTCCATCAACTCACCTCAGAGATTTCAAGTCTCTGTCCTGTGTAGTCGTACACGTCTCCTGTAATGACAATCAATAAACAAACATGAAATATTTATTGAATGGAAGAAAAGCTAAACTCTATAAAAGGACTTTTTAGATTTTACCGTAAGATCTGCCGTTGATGGAGCACTTGTTGAAGATCATGATGTTCTGGGTCAAAGTTCCTGTTTTGTCACTAAAGATGTATTTGATCTGGCCCAGCTCCTCGTTCAGCGTGGTGGTCCGAGCCTCGGCGGGCGTGTCGCTGTGAGAATGGTACATCTTCCTGTCCCAGTCGATGTAGAAGCTGTTCCCCAGGCGAATAATCTCCACGCTGACAAATCATCCAGATGTTTTTCTTTCTTTTTTTTTCTCTAAATCTTGACTTTAAATGGATTTTAAAAAGCCAACATGAGCTTTAGATGTTACCTAACATAAAGAGAAATGGGCACCACAGTGTTGAGGATGATGACGTAGGACCAGAAGGTGAGGAAAGAAGAGAAACCAGCAGTGTTTCCATCCTCCCTCGGCAGGAAGACGGTGAAGTTGGAGCCTTTGTTTATCTCCCAGATGTAGTTTCCTATCGCCAGAACCGTGCACATGCAGACGAGAAAACCAAAGATCTGCAGGAAGAGCACCAAAACAAAATATTTACAAATCAGTGTCAAGGTGATTGGTTGAAAACTGTTTTTTTGGTCCAGATTATTTGAAGACTTAGTAAAATAAAATAAGCACTCACACAGAGGACTAAAACGTTCATCAGTCGGTCTACACTGGTTCTCTTGAATGTGCTCTTCCCACAGTTCTGCATCAGTTTTGTTTCCTGACCTTCAACGAAAACCAAAACAATAAAAAAGCGACGATGAGAGCGGTTTCTGCTGCTATGATTTTGACGCTGAAACATTTCTCTGACCTGCGAACAGCACCAGCCCAAAGCACCACTCGGTGTTCCTCAGGGTGCAGCCTCGCAGCAGGATTTTCTCGTTGTCCAAAGCATATTTCTGTCCGGCGAAGGTCAGTGTTCCCGCGAAACGGTCGAGGCGGTTGTTGGGGGCCTCACAGCGCACCTCACCTTGACAGAAAACACAACATGATTGATGTTACGCAGAAATACAGCAGATATTTTCTAAATGATTTTTAAGAAGAATAATAATAAGAAGAATATAAGAATAATAAGAAAATGAATACAAAAATTAATAATAAGAATAAAAACAATAAGAAAAATAATAAGAAGAATAAGAATAGGATTAATAAAAGAATTAGAATAAGAAAAATAAGAATAAGAAAATTAATAAGAATAATGAGAATAAGAATTAGAAGAATAAGAAGCATAAGAAAAATAAGAATAATAAGAATAAGAATTACAATAAGAAGCAGTGAAGCTTGTGAAGAACAGGGGTGATGTGGCTGTAGGAGGGGGTCTGATGAGTTCTGAACCAACTCAAGATTATGAAGGGACTTTTTGAGAAACACCAAAAGGAAGAGAATTGCAGTTGATTTTGGAAGTAACAACAAGACTGTGGACCAGTTTATCGGCAGTATAAGGGGAAAGAGGGGCGGAGACGATTGATGCTGTAAAGGTAGAACTATGCAGACCTGGTGGTGGTCTGGATGATAGAGTACCGTAAAGGATGACATCTAGACTCTTCATTTGAGAGGAGGGGAAACGAGAGTCTTGTCAACTAAAATGGGAGAACTGTCAGCCTTGGATAATGTAGTTTTGTACTAATGAGTATGAATTTTGTTTTATCAAGTTGAAAAAAGCAGAATTTGAGTTCATTGAGGCAGTTGGTAAGGGAGGAGGGTGGGAGGAAAACACTGGGTTTACTGGAAAGGTAGAACTGGGTTTCATCTGTGTAACAATGAAAGTGAATGTTGTATTTGTGAAATGTAACTGATAGGAAGGAGATAAATGATGAAGTGCAGAGGCCCGAGAACAGAGCCATGGGGCACACCCATGGTTACGGGGGATGATTTGGAAACAAAAGACTGAAGTTGGACAAACTGAGTGGTTTGCAGAATTGGAACATTTTGTACTGTAAATAAATAAATGCAGCATAAAGGAGTGTTTTCCTGGAACTAAGGCCCATCTGTGATGGATTTATTGGCTAAACTTACCGTCAAAGTCTGCCAGTTTTTCAACGTCATCTCCCAGGTCTCCTGTCACTGTCAGGGCCTGTCTCACCTTCAGGTTCGTCTCACTGAGGAAGACGAGTGGACGAAACAAACCAAGGACATGTGGTCCAACAAAACAGTAAAGAAGAGGTGCATGAGAACACATGAAAAGCATAAGATGGGTCACATGAACAACTATCGGAGTGAAAAAGTTCAGTTTTAAATATAAAACATCCACTAACCCGTCCAGTTCTGCTGTTTCGATATACACAAGGTTGAGTGGTTCGCTGCTGGAGAGCAGCAAGAGGTCAGCCTGAAATCACAAATCCATTTATTACAGCTAAGACAAACGGTACAATTTAATGTTCCGCTGTTCTGAGGGTTTATTTTTCCAAGTTTAAGAAAAAGTCGACCAAGTGAAGGAGCTTTTTACCAGCAAAGTCATTAAAATACAAACAGAAAAGCACAAGATTTTAAAATAAAAACCAACATTATTATCAGGCAGTATCCAACATTTCAATGGAAGATAGTTTGTTGGCAGATATTTAGTCGTTTTCTTTTTGTAAAAGGAAAAAATTAGAAAATTGTACAAAATAAAATATTTTATCTAATTTTCCAGGTCTTTAAGAGACTTTAGTTAAAACGAGTTTAAAAGCAAATGAGTTAAAATACTTTATTTCTATCATTACAAAGTATCCAAAACAAAAATCCTTACTGACCATTAAGAAGTTGTAGAAAAATAACAACTTATCAAAAGGATGAAACTAAAATAAGAAGCTGTTAAACTGTGTTGTTTTTACTCACGGTGACAAACTGGTTGTTTTCCAGCTTGATGATGTCTCCGACCTGGACGTCCATCCATTTCTCGCTGCGCAGCCTGAAAACACAAAGCAGAACCGTGAGTTTGTTTCTGCAGCCTCGTGTCAATTTACTGTAACGATTTCCTGTTTCTATAAAGAGTCTCATGAAAGAAACCAACCGAGGGACCATAAATAATTTCTGACATCCAAACACAGGCTGCTTTCCTTCACTGTCAGTTTCCTGTTTTATCTCTCTCTGTGTCTGAGAAAAAAAAACAGCTGGCTGGATTTTAAAGTTTATAAAATCAAACATGAGTCACTGGTTTGATTCTGTAGTTTATTTTAATCTTATCTTTTACCTGTAAAAGTTTTAAAAACTTCATTTATTCTTGTTTGATTAAACAGAAATAGAAAGAAGGAACAACCCAACAGGATGTTTTCTTTTTATTTTATAAATCATCTGTTTGTACTGAAATTGTGGACAAATGGGAAGTTTTTCCAGTATCCTTCCTAAATCTGGACTAAAAATAGCCAAACACCAATCTCATCCTGAAAATGACCTTTGAGCCTATTTTTAAAACTCTCGTGTTTGAATCCTCCGATTCTTAAAGAGCTCATATCCTCAGGAAGTTTTGCCATCCCTCATTATCTGAAGTGTAACACCTCCTGGTGTCCTTTATTGAGAACTGCACTTCGTTTTTATTTGATGCATTTATTATCCTATGTTTATTATGTGCAGTGTTTCAGGTTTTATATTTTGATATAATCCTAACTGCTTTTTATATTATCAAGTGTTTTTTTTCTGGATGCTGCTTGAATGGAATACAGAGAATCCAGAACAACAAGAGTCACAGCTGAGAAAGGCCAAAGTCCAGGTAGGTGCAGGGGCAGAGAAAGAGGGGTGGCCGGGGTGGCAAATGCCACGCTTGGTGCCTGATTGGCCACCCCCAAATAATTACAAAGTGATGTGGGAATTGCATGTGGTATTCACAGATAAGCAGTTAGGGCAAATAAATAAATAAATAAATAAACAAGTAAATATCTGTAAAGCTGCTGAATTGTCTGGTGTAGAGGGAACCTATCAGTGTGATGAAAATAACTTTTCTGAATCACTGAAGTAAAATAAAGCAACAACTGTGTGTAAAAAGTGGGCAACATCTAGTGGCCAGTGTTTGAAGAGACATGCATATCTACAGCGGGTAAAATAAGTATTGAACACGTCACCATTTTTCTCAGTAAATATACTAGAGGTGCTAATGACATGAAATTTTCACCAGATGTCGGTAACAACCCAAGTGATCCATACATACAAYGAAATCAAACCATAAATGTCCAGAAATGAAGTTATTTGTAATAATGTGGAATGGCACGGGGAAAAAGTATTGAACACACTTACTGAAATTTATCTAATACTTTGTACAAAAGCCTTTGTTGTCAATGACAGCTTCAAGACGCCTCCTGTATGGAGAAACTAGTGGCATGCATTGCTCAGGTGTGATTTTGGCCCATTCTTCCACACAAACAGTCTTCAAATCTTGAAGGTTTCGTGGACCTCTTCTATGAACTCTGATCTTTAGTTCTTTCCATAGATTTTCTGTTGGATTCAGGTCAGGTGATTGGCTGGGCCATTCCAGCAGCTTTAGTTTCTTTCTCTGAAACCAACTGAGAGTTTCCTTGGCTTTGTGTTTGGGCTCATTGTCTTGCTGAAATGTCCAGCCACGTTTCATCTTCATCATCCTGGTAGATGGAAGCAGATTTTTATCAAGAATGTCTCTGTACATTTTTCCACTCATCCTTCCTTCAATTATTTGAAGTTTGCCAGTACCATATGCTGAAAAACAGCCCCACACCATGATGTTCCCACCTCCAAACTTCACTGTTGGTATGGTGTTTTTGGGCTGATGTGCAGTGCCATTTGACCTCCAAACATGATGTGTATTCTGGCATCCAAACAGTTCAATGTTGGTCTCATCTGACCAGACTATATTCTCCCAGTATTACACAGGCTTGTCTAAATGTTGTGCAGCAAACTTTAAAGGAGCTTCAACATGCTGTTTCTTCAGCAGTGGAGTCTTGCGTGGTGAGCGTGCATACAGGCCATGGTGGTTCAGTGCATTACTTATTGTTTTCTTTGAAACAATCGTACCTGCTAATTCCAGGTCTTTCTGAAGCTCTCCACAAGTGGTCCTTGGCTCTTGGACAACTCTTCTGATAATTCTTTTCACTCCTCTGTCAGAAATCTTGTGAGGAGCACCTGGTCGTGGTCGGTTTATGGTGAAATAATGTTCTTTCCACTTCTGAATTATGGCCCCAACAGTGCTCACTGGAACCTTCAGAAGTTTAGACATTCTTCTGTAACCGATGCCATCATTATGCTTTGCAACAATAAGGTTGTGAAGGTCTTGAGAGCTCTTTACTTTTACCCATCATCAGATGGTTCTTGTGTGATACCTGGCCATCATTTGGGACTGAACCAGCTGATATTAACTTGCACTGACAAGGGGCAGGCTTGCTTTCTAATTACTGAGAGAGTTCAGCTGGTGTCTTGGCTTTCCATGCCTTTTTACACCTCCCTTTCTTCATGTGTTCAATACTTTTTCCCTGTGCCATTCCACATTATTACAAATAACTRKWTTRRMGYKKWTTWWMGTTTGATTTCTTTGTATGTATGGATCACTTGGGTTGTTACCGACATCTGGTGAAAATTTCATGTCATTAGCACCTCTAGTAATAAATTTACAGAGAAAAATGGTGACGTGTTCAATACTTATTTTACCTGCTGTATGAAATAAAAACAGTGAAAGAAAATATACTTATATTTAAGAAACTTGGCATACACATGATTTTACCTGTTATGTATGTTTGTTTACCTGTTATTGGCATATTTTCTTTTGAACTCGGCTCAGCTAAAGTGAAACAGGAAGTGACATCAAAGGGGACCTCTCTGAGAAAATAAATCCCTGGTTTTTGTTTATTGAAACGTTGTTATTTGAACTATGTCTCTTTTCCATCTCTCTGATAGTGATTAAAATAATCTACAGAAACATCGGATTCTTCTCTACAGTCTGTGTTGGTAGCCATTTTAGGAACGCTCTGTTTACATGCAGATATTCCCCTTTGACATCACTTCCTGTTACTTCACATGCAAACATCTCAACAACTGTTCATCTCAGATGTGTGAAATCTTTTCTATAATAAGTTATCAATGTTATCCTTCCAAAATTACATTCAAGTTCATTACAAAAAGCTGATGTCACCGGTACTTTAACATAGTGATGACGTGGAGAAACTTTGACAGACTTTGTGGCTGCCATTTTAAATCTGTTTCTCACCAAATTTCAGCTCTCACTACTAGCTAAAACATTTTCAAAGCTGAACAAAGTATAATAGTTAAAGCAGACAAAAAGAGAATCACAAATAAAAAAGCTAGCCTGAGGATAATAACTTCTGGGTGTTGAAAAAGACAAATCGAGCGCTTGTTTATATTTTATTTTTAGGCAGAGCCGACTTTTTATCAACAGGAAGTGGACGTCTCCTCCCCCACAGCTGCTTCCCATAAAGGCCTGAGCTGAAGGACGGAGACGTCCAGGAGGACAAACAGATGTTAAGCATTTTATATGAAGAACAATCAACTTACTTTCTGTCAATAAGAACTTGAACCTTTCGATTGTTTACTCGTTTGTCGCTCCTGTGGCGATTCTAAACAAAAAAAAAAAGAAGAAGAAGAAGACAGAATCAGGAGACGTTACGAGAAATGTTATATTCTATAGAATTTAATAAAAACTGCATCTCTCACAAAGTAACAAACTAGTTGGTTCTTCATTTAAACCTGCCGGATATAATAAAAGTTAAAAATCTATGTTGGAAAAAAAAAGGAAACGTTTCATAAACTCTGTTGAGAAACTTGAACTCATTTCCCCCAAGAGGCTGAGAGAAATTCCTGCAGCTCAGTCGGATGTAAAACTTTTCTCAACTCCAGCGTCGGTTTCGTTTCGTCGTGTTCTGCATGATGAGTGTGGAGAATCCTGAGTGTTTATCTGAAGAACAAACTCACTCTTCTCTAACGGAGCAGCTGACGAGGACTCTTCATGTTAAACTAAAAAAAACTATTCTTATCTCTCCTCCTTGAGCATAACCTCATCCTGTTACATCATTTATTTCCTCCTAACGGTTTTGCTTTTAAACGGTCCTCACATTTCTAAAAACAAAATCTAAGTTTTCTTTCATCTTGTTAAAGAAACATTTTGTTCTTTCCTAATCATGTGAATTAAATAGAACTCAGCTTTAGTGAAAAGCTAACGTCCTGACCTCACGTTTGGGTCAGTTGAGTTTTAAATGTTGACCTTAGAGGAGGGAACTTATTTCTTCATCAGACAAAACTCCCAAATGACCAAACTCAAGACGTAAAGGAGAACTAAAACTATCAGTTCAATCAATGTGGCTGCAGAGAAAAAAGAAAAACAACTCCCACGACTAATTCTCTTTTTCTTTTAAAAAAACTTTTAAAGTAATCTAAACAAAGACATTATTGTGGTTGATAAAATGGTAATCAGCATTTTTAAAGTGTTTTAATTGGACACAATTTGCAATAAAGCATGAAGAGTTGCTGAGAAGAGATCTGTTTTTTTCCCACAGAGTTAATGGTGATTATGGTCAAAACGAGACGTGAAAAGAAAATTCTCTGCTTTTTTACCGCAAAATGTTCTTCAAAATAATGTTTTTACATTGTGAAAGTAAAATGTGAAAGTTTTCTTTGTGAAGCGAAAAACTTTTATTTGTAAAACAGAAATGGTTGTTTACAAAGCTCAGATGTTTGGTTTTCGGTACAGTCAGTTGGCTGCGGCAGCCATCTTGGACAGGGCAGACTCCAGAAGTTAATCATTCGTCTGAATAAACTGACTGATTCACCAGATGAGTGGGAAAGTATTTACTCATAGTAAAAAGTGATGAGAAGCTGAGTCAAACTCAGGCGGCCCTGACGCAAACGACAAAAATTAATTTGTTTAATGTCAAAATCAGTTTACATGGAAAAAAATTATTAGTTTAGTCCAAAACCACCATTGTTTCCTAATGTAAGATCTGATGAGCGACAAGCGTTCCTTCAAGGATCGTTAAGCCGTAGAAGAGACGTGGGTTTCTCACTGTTTGAAATGAAAAAGTAAAACTAATTTCATCTTACGAGGTCGTCAGTGGCATCCTTGGCCGCCGTGACGGTCAGCACGAAGATGAGCGGCACGACGGTGGTGAACCAGGACAGGGAGGAGATCTGAGGAATCACCTGAACGACACAAAACACGTTAAATTACGCACGAAGACGGGATGAAAAATCCACATTTCACCAAACTAAGAAATCTACGATCCTGTGCTAGAGAAAAGACAATAAAAGCAGTTAATGTTATTTGATTTATTATTGTTGTGTTGGTTCAGGAAGTGGTTCGGCGTGGTGTGAATCTAAAACTGTGAACTCGTCATTCTTTGGTTCGGTTCTTGTATCAGCAGATCAGCCCGTCTCAACGACCTCTGCGGTCATCACGGCTTTGAGCTCGGTGAGACAATTTCCTGTACTGGATCTAACACTTCCTCAATTTTCTGTGAACTTCAGGCTTCCTTTTCCTGTTTGCTTAGCTCAGCCACCGTGTGAGAGGTCCTGTTTGAGACGGTTGGGTTTCTTGCACGAGGAGCCTAATTTGAAAATAACTTTTATTCAACGATACATCTGATAAGATCTGCTGAAGTTAAAAAAAAATGTACAAGATGAGTGAAAAACTATTTAAACTCTCTGCAAATAGATGTTGTTTAAGTGATTATCATCACAATCCTTGAGGTTTAAAACGGTTTTTAGATATTTGGGTGCATCAATGGTGCAACACAGAGGACAAAACTGTGTCAGTGCGCACTATTTTCCCTCAGACCACCATCAGATGTGGTCTGGACCCCTTTAATCCACATCCGTTTGGTAGTCTATAGGGTTGTATTCTGAACAGTCTGATGGACTATAGTGTATTTGGCTTTTTTAAACAATACAAGTCCTAAAATAATTATTATTATGATCTTTATAAATCTGGCAGCCCTGATCAGCGAGGATATCCTAAAGACAGGCAAAGTGTTGTTGAACTGTTTATCAGACTCCTTTCCAACAAAAATGACACTTTATTTGGGATTTAATTAATCAAAAGGAATTATGGGTGAGTTTTTAATTTATTTTTTGGTTGAATGTTAGTTCTGATTGTTTTTAAACCCACCATGATCAGTATGGTGCAGCATGAGGGCCAAAATTTAGACTATTGTGCAACCAGAGGTTCCTACATCCTTGTAGCAGGAGGCAATATATATTCCTAAACCAGGTATTGATCTGATTAATGATAGGCCGGCACTGGTAAACTGAGAGGCCGGCGCTGGCAAATGAGAAGGAGATTGTTCATTTGTGTTAGCATCAGAGAGGCTAAAGACTAGCATGGATAATCTGGCATTAGCATTGAATCTAGAGACTAGCATGGATAAGCTGGTGTTACCATTGGAGAGGCTAGTGACTAGCATGGATAAGCTGGCGTTAGCATTGGAGAGGCTAGTGACTAGCATGGATAATCTAGCATTAGCATTGGAGAATCTAGCATTAGCATTGGAGAGGCTAGCGACTAGCATGGATAATCTGGCGTTAGCGTTGAATTTAGAGACTAGCATGGATAATCTGGCATTAGCATTGGAGAGGCTAGAGACTAGCATGGATAAGCTGGTGTTAGCATTGGAGAGGCTAGCGACTAGCATTGATAAACTGGTGTTAGCATTGGAGAGGCTAGCGACTAGCATTGATAATCTGGCATTAGCATTGGAGA